GATTTGAAGGGTGAAATTTTCTTCTAAATTACACAAATAATAAATGTCTGTGTATAAAGAATTACAGATTTTTAGTGTTTGTGTAACGAAACATTGGTAATTATAATTTTTTTTCTTTTTTACAATCAAGAGTAATTGTGAAACATTATTTACTATAGCATTATTTGGTATATTTGAAATATGTAATTTTTAATTTAGGTTTTACAGACAATAAATTTCTGTTTACGATGAATTACAGACACTTGTTGTCTGTGTGACCAAAACATACTTCTTACTTAGTTGAACATATGACAATAAGCCTCTCATTTCAGGCTTCAAAACACCTCGAGCGTCTCATTAAATACATGATACGAAGCAGACAAGCAATTAATATTGAAAACACACATTCTACGTCTGTGAGTCGAAGTTCACATACATTTACCATTTTTTTCAAAACATGCCCGCAAAATTACAATTAAGAACTTATTGTTCATAAAAACAAGAACAAAAAGTAATTATAATTTTTTTTCTTTTTTACAATCAAGAGTAATTGTGAAACATTCTTTACTATAGCATTCTTTGGTATATTTGAAATATGTAATTTTTAATTTAGGTTTTACAGACAATAAGTTTCTGTTTACGATGAATTACAGACACTTGTTGTCTGTGTGACCAAAACATACTCCTTACTTAGTTTAACATATGACAATAAGCCTCTCATTTCAGGCTTCAAAACACCTTGAACGTCTCATTAAATACATGATACGAAACAGACAAGCAATTAATATTGAAAACAGACATTCTACGTCTGTGAGTCGAAGTTCACATACATTTACCATTTTTTTCAAAACATGCAAAATTACAATTAAGAACTTAATGTTCATAATACAAGAACAAAAAGTAAAAATTCAGAAAGATAAATACATGATACGAAGCAGGCAAGCAATTAATATTGAAAACAGACATTCTACGTCTGTGAGTAGAAGTTCACATACATTTACCATTTTTTTCAAAACATGCAAAATAGCAATTAAGAACTTAGTGTTCATAATACAAGAACAAAAAGTAAAAATTCAGAAAGATAAATACATGATACGAAGCAGGCAAGCAATTAACATTAAAAATAGACATTCTGCGTCTGTGAGTAGGAGTTCACATACATTAACCATTTTTTCCAGAATACCAGTTCATGTTTCTGCCTGAATGCCATTTTTACCTCGAGGCTCCTGCATACAGGCAGAAACAAAAAATTGGTATACAAGGACAAGCCATAAAACTGAATATACAAGCCATAAAAAACAATGACAAAACACTGATCTTCCATTACACAAATTTCACAAATTCACTCAACACAAGTCATACAACATTGGTACATAAGTACTTGAACATTAACAACTCAAAATACTACACAGACCCAAGAACACTACTAAATACATCAACCTACTTCAAAAGAGCAACCAAAACAACAACAAGACCCAACAACTTGCAAAAGAGGTTTATGGTTTGATATAGATTCACGCCCCTATTGGAATGATTCTCACGGGGCACAGCTCCATTCACTTCGTTTTGAGCTCCACGTGCATTCTCATGTAAATAGCTCTCCTCCTCAAATTCTCCGTAGTTTCGAACAAACCGACCCATTACAGAGCTATCAATTGGCAGTGGCTCACCTCGAAATTCAGCCTTCAGTGGATGGCACCAAAGAAAAAACCCACTGATCACAAGTATAAAAAAGCCTACCTTTGTTTGGCTTCTCATGCTCAGTCACAACTCGAATTACACAATTTCTTGATTGAGGCAAACAATCACACTTTACTGTACCATAACGTAGATCTAATTCAGGCCTCGCCATCTTCAAGTTGGAAGAAATTGCTTCATATTGTCTCCTTGTCTCCTTCTTCACACAGTAGTTGGAAGTCGAAGAGGAAGATGCCATGGTCCGAAGAAATCTGTGCACTTTTCTCAATCTATTAGAAAAAATAAATATCATCAACAATGTTCATCTATGAGTAAGTAATTCACATACACTCAATATCTGTACTTGTTTACCAAAGACACATAATGTCTGGGTAACCTCAATGAAATCCAAATGAGGTTCTTAACATAGTAAAAATCCAAATACAACTACCTCCAATCTTCCAACTTCCAATCTTCTACATCAAAAGCAACCACGAGGGAATATAACTAAGTCTAACTCTGAAACTTAACAAACAAACAATTAAGAAATGTCACTTTGTTTGGAACACATTTTAGAAGGTATAAGAATCAAATGAGCATGTCCAATTATTGCACCAATTCGGAATGAGATGAGTAAGCTTGAAGGATACTTCTTGAGGGATACTGGTGAACTTTTGGAAGGGATTCTAAATTTGTTAGGTCATACTAGTGTCAGTCAAATATGTTATAGACATTACGTGTCTGTAATATTTTCTTTACAAACATAGTATGTCTGTGAGAGTGTAGATAAAAAATCTAAACCTCTTGTCACAAACCATTCAACATACATAGATGAAATAGCTACCTAAAGCTACAACACAAAACTGAAATTGGGAAAGGACAGCAATAAAATCAGATTTGTGAAAATAAATCAAATTTAATTTTTGTCTAAATCGGATTGGAAAGTCATAATTTCCACCAACAATGAACAAAATCAGATCTAACAATGAACAAAATAAAATTCGATTTATATCAAAAACCATACAAATTTGATTTACCAGAGTGTGAAGTTGTAGGCGAATGTCCTCAAAGGTGATTTGGAGTGGAGGGTGACGTCGCAAAGGGAAAAAGGAAGATGAAGATGCCAGGATGAGAAAGACGATGAAGGCTGGAGCTTTTGGGTACCAGAGTGAGGCGGAGAAGGGGAGTAGAATTCTTGACCGGCGAAGAAGAAGGCTGATCGGGAAGAGAGAGGGGGAGAGACTACGTGGGTGAGAGGGATAAGGCGTGGGGGGTTGGCCTTTTATATGGTGTACCCTTGGTGTACAAAAGTGGGGTTCATATAGCATTTTCCAAAAATTTAATCTTGAAATGTCCACTTTCCTTTTTCGTTCAACTACTTTTGTCCACGTCCTTTTTTGGCAAGTGTGATATACTTAAATTGTCTATCTTGCCCCCCCCCCCTCTTAAATGCACCAAACCCACTCTCTACCACCCATATGGGTAAATTAGACCATTTCCACTATTTTTAATCCAAACCTTGATATTTGTGTCAAAAATCAAGTGGACAAAGAGAGAAACAAATATTTATACCATTGGTGAATGTGTGTAAAATGAGAGGTGCTATAAAATTCCCAACGATATAAACAAATTAATTTCTCGTATTCAAATTTTAGAAAAAGGATGAGACTCATTCCCAAAGACTACCCCAGATTCGACCGGACGATCACGGAGAGAATTTATGTTTGAATTTGATCGCAATTTTGTGGCAAAGAGTGAAGTATGCATCTCATATTTACAGAAGCAATATGGCTTAGCATTATAGCCTACCAATCCAAATGTTAGAAATCAAATTCGATCTTATTCCTGTGACACTTCTTAGTCTTGCCAATTATGCAACAGCCACTGGCAGAATTAGTTGTATATAGAAGATATGAGAGAATGAAGTCATAAAAACACTAGTCTCATCATCATCATCCATTACCAATTACTACCCAAGAGGTGGATTTGATTCTCGACATAATTGTGGCCATGGAGAAAACTGCTCTAGTGGTACTACTTGTTCTCAAGTAGTGTGTGTACCCTTCCAGCTCAGTAGTAGTGACTCACTTTCTGGCCTCCTCCACCAACAACCCTGTAGCTGTACTTTTGGGGGAATTATTATCGCCCCCCAACAAAAAGAACCACCGCGCACG